TCCACCCTTACTTGATGTGATATGTCACAGTCAAAATGCAGTCAAGGCTTTGAGGCACCAAATTATCAAAAGTATCACATAAAATTACCTTCAGGGTATGTGGATAAGGTATACATGAAACAGAAATGAATTTCATATTTAGACTTGGGTCTCATTCCAAAGATAGCTCATTATGTATGTGCAGATATTCCAAAATGCACAAAAATCAGAGACATTTCTGGTCCCGGGCATTTCAGTTAGGGGATACCTGACCTGTGTCTGAAGTCGCAGGACCAGGGAGGGAATCTTGACTGCTGCTTGCTCGCTGTGTCATCCAGGGCCAGCCACTTCATCTCTTGGAGCTGCAGCTTCTGCGTCTGTCTAACTGGGATGAGAGTTACCTCGAGTGTTGTGTGCGTGCAAGGTACCTGGAACACAGCAAGCACCCAGAAAATGCCTGAGGGTGATGTACACAGGGAGGGGCGAGAGTTCCGGATTCAGATGGAAACACGGGGTCCCAGCAAACTCTAGGGTCAGCCAGTTCTTAGCCGTGAGACATTTTAGCAAGTCATTGACTCCTTTAAGCCTCGACTTCCTCATTTGTAAAACAGAGACAAAAATAGCCACTTCTGATGAAATCAGGCTGTTAATTTAAGCACTGGACACATTACATGATGCACAGCAAGCCCTTAGGAATCTCGCTCTTGTTTCAAAAGTCATGATAATCTGGTCCACTGGTATCTGATCCCTTTCACTGGCTATTAAATAGGGCAGGAACTTCTAAAACAGGGGCCACAGACTCCTTCCTTTGGTGGCGTAAGGAAGAGGAACATGGTTGATGCGGCGGCAGGCGACGTTTGAACGTTGCAGTTCCCCTGTTTGGCCACACAGGGCTGCCCTTTCTCACGAAACAGCTTTGCACCACCGCGGGCACCTTACACAAGCCTTGTTTCTGAAATAGGATTCAGAATTTGATTTGGTTTTTTTTTTTTTTCCCCTCCTCTTTTACATGTAATGCTTGGTTTTCTTTGGATTTGCAGAGAGACTCGACTTCCTTCCTTACTTTAGTTAAATGATTTGGATGAGATTCAGAAGACGTTCTGGCATTATCTGTGAAATACTGCTTTGTTTCAAACGCAGTGCTCTCTTTCTTCCTTGCCTAATGTGCTTTTCTTGTGGACATGATTTGGAGGCAGGTGGGAGGCAGACCTTTGCAGAGGAGATATCTGCAGATGTGGAAGGAGCTGGGGAGCAGTGGGATGCAGGGGAAATTGCGGGGCTTGGGAACAGTAATTCAACAGTTACTTCCTGAGGTCCTGCTGTGTGCAAGGCACTATTCTCAGTGTGTTGGGAAAATCCATGGCTGGAAGAAAGAAAGATTCCTGCCCCCATAGAGCCCGCATTCTGGTTGGGGTGATAGTAAATGGGATAATAGATTTAGGCATTTTAAATCTAAATTTAATGAAGTGGAATTTTGAGTATTAGGTGTTAGGAACAATAGAAAAAAGAGCAGCAGAAGAGAGACGTGCAAGCTTGGTGAAGGTGGGCAGGGGAGGCTCTGCATGGGCGGGCCAGACTTAGGCGCCCCTGGCTCTCCACTTCTCGGGTCTGTCCCTGGTAGGGAAGTTCCCCCAAGGGCAGAGACTAGGTCTTAATACATGCTGCAGCCTAAACTTCAGCGTCTGGATGTTCGTAGGTGTTCTTCTACCAGCTGATGGGTGATGGATGAATACATTCGTGCTTCTAGGGGAAGTCACTTGACGTTTCTGAGCTCTTGTTTGTTAAGCTGTAAAATTGTGTCAAATGAGTTCTTGTTTACACATTTAGGGGAAGAGATAAGATGAGTCCGGGGTAGTGCTTGGCACATAGTAGATGCTCAGTGTCACTTCCATTCTGGGGACAGTCTGCCCACCGCCCACAGCTCAGGAGTATAGATGCTGCTCAGCTTGCAGGACCAGAATAGGGAGGTTGTAGTGACTTATCAAATATTGTTTACTTTAGAAGTAACATACTCTGAAACATTTAAATTTATTTATATGTGGTCCTTATTGCTGTTGTAAGAAATACTGTCAACTGAGGGGCTTAAAACAGCACAGACTTGTTATCTTGCAGTTTTGGAGGCCAGAGGTCTCAGTGGGTGAAATGCCTTCATTCCCAGGGCTCTTGGGGAGAGTCTGTCTCACTGCCCTCCTGGCTTCTGCAGGCTGCCTGTATCTCTTGGCTTGTGGCCCCTTCCTGCATCTCCAGAGCTTGCAGTGTTGTACCTTCAGTTTCCTCTCTGACATTCCTGCTTCCTTCTTTCCCTAATGAAGACCCTTGTGATTATACTGAGAGTTACTAGGGTGACCCAGGATAATCCCCTCATCTCAAAGTCTTCATCTTAATCACATTTGCAAAGTCTCTTTTATATGTAAGGTCACATTTTCACAGGTTCTTGGGACTGGGATGTGGATATATTTGAGGAGGGTCTGTTACTTAGTCTACCATCTTAAGCAAATTTTTTGACTAACAATTCCATGTCAAAGAAAAACATGGATGAGTGCACCAAGATTGTGTATGTTGGGTTGTCTGTTAAAGCATTATTTCTAATACCAGGATTATCAGAAGCAACAGAAATGTCCAACAGCAGGGAATTACATTATGACATATGACCATTAAAAATAAAAGTCGAAGGAGACTGTTAACATAGAAAAACATCTATGACTTAAGAAATAAAAGGCAAGTTATGAAACAGTGTGAATGATATGATCCGGTTCTTATAAAAATAAGCATTTATATATATGCATAGAAGAATGTCTAGAAGAATATACACCAAGATGTTAACAAGGGTTATTTCTGTATTTTGGGATTAGAGGCAATTTTTCTTCTTTTTGCTTCTCACTGTTTCCTAATGTTTTGACAGTGAAAATGCATTAGTGTTAGAAAAAGAACCCCCTCCTTTTTTTTTTTTTAAAGAAAGATTACTGAAATTTAGTAAAAAAATTTATGATCAAATACAGAATTGGCATCTGAGAGTTTCACTTGTTGAAAATGAGTTGGATTTTTATTTTAATTGCATTGTTAGCCTTAGATTGGACAAGAGTGCCCTGCTTAGCGCCTCACAGTGTCACATGGGATCTCAGTGTTCTGCTCTGAGCCTTTCCAGACCCCTGCACTCATTTCATCATCCACTGATGGTGGATTGGTTCCTCCCTCCCTTCTCCTCCCTCTCCTCCGCTTTGTCCGCAGAGAGAAGAAAAGGCAGGCTTTTGAATGGAAAAGGAATGCTTTTCCAATTTTTGCTGCAGCACAATGGCTTTATGCTCATTTTATTTGGGCCTGCTTTTTTGAAACTCTCCCCTTCTTACTTTAAAATTTGTGTCATTCTGCTTTCACACCTTTTTATTTTAGCATCTTCTCTGCAATGTCTCCGTTCTAGGGCTCTTCTGACAGTCCTCAGATTGTATCGGTGGCGGTACTCTTCTCTTCATGGTTGTAACTTAAAAACAGATTACTTTTCTTCATCTGTCCGAGCCTGAGGCTGCATCTTCTGTGATGCAGAGGTCACGGAGGGAGCGAGGCTGGAGCTCCATTGCTTCGGCCGTTCTGTTCTAATATCACAAAACTCCGAGGCTCCGGCTGCGGAGAAAGGCTATTACCAAATTTCTTTTGGGAATCATGTGGTCTTTCTCTTGTATGAGAGAAGGAGGAAAATAAATGTGTAATTAAAGAAATAATATGATAGTATTTCTACTTGCAGTGATAATGACTCAAGTTTCACAGAGTCCTTTGCATCTATCTTTCATTTGAGCCTTGAAGGATCCCTGTGTGGGAGGCACTTTCCAGAGGCCGAAACTGAGGCTCGAAGATGTTAAATGATTGCGCTGAAGTTACGTAACTTGTAAACGTCCAGGCTGCGCTGAATGCTCCACTCACCTTGCGCTCCGGCTGGTGCTGCCTGATGTCTGTGTGTTTGTCATTTTGGTCGGGATCACAGGATATACGAAGCAGGTGGTGGCCGGGGTGTTTAGCATGCATCTGGGACCCTGGTGCTGTGCTGGTTCTGTTCTGATTCACCTCGCAAGCCTTTCTGTGTTGAATGTTTCCCTTTTGTTCAGGAAGGAATCAGCTGAGGCTCAGAGAGGTCAGGAAGACTGTCCTCAATTACACATGACTGGAGGGCCCCTGATTGCAAACCCCACCACTCCCCTCCTCTCCACGCGTTCCTTGCGGACCATGAGCAAAGATATTGACTGTTGTCGCCACCCGAGCAAGTTGTGCCCTTGACAGTCAGTCGTGGCTCTCAGATCAGTTCTTTTAGAGGTTTGCCAATGTCTTTGAAAAAGAGATGATATCTTTGTTGTTAGAATGTAACCCTTTTCCCCTGAGGCATTGCCAATCCATTTGGCAACTGTTGCAAAAATCAAATTATACCTTCAATTGGTTTAGCTGTCCTGCTTTTTCGAACATTGATTGACAGCCAGTGGGTCACATGTCAATAGACCCAAAGAAATTTATGTTTTTTGGCTGAAGGGTTACTTATTGAAACAAATGAGATGGCCCTTTAAATTGATGGAAGTGAGGTCTTCGGACGGAGGGTTGGAGGCCGTCTGTGTGGTCATCTGTGAGCTCCTCTTCATTGCAGGATGGATCTTCCCTGTCTCTAGCTCCCTGGTTCCCGGCTTTCATGTATTGGGTATTCAACAAATGCTCTTGAACATCAGGGACTTAGTTGAAGCTGTAGTAAAGGCAGGACTGTGTGGTGGCTGTGGCATCCTGCTTGGTCATTGCCAGTGGTGGGAGCACAGGCTCCTTCCTATGGCTGCCACCTGCAGCTTCCACTCATGGGTCCTGGTCCCTGCCTTCAGAGCCTCACCAAGTCTACATTAGCAGCTCCTAATCCTGAGGGGAGGGAGTCCGCAGTCCATCTCTCCTGAGCCTCTATGTCTTTGAGCCAAATGACCCTGGTGTACAAACCCATGTCGATCTCCTCACCCCTTCATGGTATTTACCAATGAAACATTTGTCATTTTAACTTGTAGCCTCCAGAATCCACCCGTCCCTTGAATATGCCTTCCAGTCTTGAGATATTTATTGTGCCTCTGCTGAGTGCCAGGGATTGCCATGAAGAAGGCTGTCCAGGTAGAACTCACAGTCTCGTAGGAGAAGATGCATCAACAGAGGATGCTCACAGGATGTCCTACATGCTGTGCCAGGGTACCGACAAGGTACAGTGGGGCCCGCAGGAGGGAAATGGCCATTCCTACTTGAGAGTTACAATGATAAAGATTTTGCTTAACAAATACTTTATTGAGTGCCTTCTCTGCACCAGCATGTGCTGGACAATAGGGACATGACGCCATGGTGCCTGCTCCCATGGGTTTATAGTCTGCGGACATAGTAATCTAATTCAAATGAGGACACATTACTGCAAACTGAGATAAAAGCTGTGAAGAAAAGGGACTTGACGTCATAGTCAGGCCCAGACAAGGGTATACGACCAGGTGTTTCTGGGGAGATGAAGTGTAAGCTGAAATCAAAAGGCTGAGTAATCATTAGGTAGTTGAAGGGAAGAGAGAGAGAATGCTCAAAGCAGAGGTGACAGAGGGCTGGGAGGCGGGAGCAGTGGTAGGGGAGAATTTAACACCCAGTTTTAGAGGCCACAGTGGGGTTTGGTATTGATCATCAGAGTAACGGGAGTCTTTTCAGGACTGCACATTGGGGAGGAGCAAATGATGAGATTTGCACCCCAGATACTGGATGGGGAGGCCAGTGTGGAGGCAGAAGGGGTCATTGAAGAGGTTGGCATATAAGATGAGGGAAAACACGGTGATAGCTTAGAATAATGTGGTTGTGGTGCCAGAGAGAAATGCATGGATTTCAGAGACACTTGGGAACAAAAAAAGGCTGTAGAAGAGAGGTGATGAATCACTAATGGGTCACAATGACTTGGGCATCAGATGGGTAATGGAGTCATTATTGAGCTAAAATGGGACACATGGGAAAGGAAAGGTGTTCTCTTTAATCGGCAGAGGTAGGGTAGAGGCGATCATGAGTTTAGTCCTAGATCTGGTGAGTTTGAGGTGCCTTTAAAACACCCAAGCAAAGTAGACAGCTGTATAAACAAATGGTGGTGTTTGAGCTGACTCTTGAGAAAATGGTTGGATGGTTTCCAGGTAAACAGTAGGAAAGGGTGTTCAAGGCATCCTGAGGCAGAGGGTGTCACATAAGCCGATGTTGGAGGCTTGAATGAGCACTGGGTGCCAGTTAGAGCATTGGGTGTGTTATAAAAGATGCAGATGGAGAGAGGCGGGGCAAGGGTAGATCCTGGAGAATCTTTGATACCCTGTTAAGAAATCTGGACTTGATCCTGAAATGTATCTGCAGGTATTGAAGGGTTTTTAGCAATTGAATGTTATAATCAAATTTGCACTTTAGGAAAATCACCATGCCCATCAAGTGAAGAATCAATTTGATGAGTCATTCATTCATTCATTCATTCATTCAACAATCTCACATGTTATATACTGTTTACAAGGCACTGTGTTAAATGCTGTGAAACAAAGGTCAATAAGGCAGAGACAATGCCTTTACCAAATTGATGGTCTCTGGGGAAAGACAGAGCCATAACGTAAATATAACATTAGAATGTCGTGTGGTAATTGTAACGATACCTCTGTGCACAGACTGTTGATTGCGTAGGAGAAGGGAAGCTTACCTACATTGCATTTAGGGAAGTTTTCTAAGATGAAATCATGCAATTTGAAAAGAATTATAGGGACAAATGAATGGTCATAGCAATTGCATTCCAAACAGAGGGACAGAAAGAACGAAGCATGGAGGGAAGAAGTAGCAGAGGATGTTAGGAAGTCTTAATCAATTTGTTGCCAAAAGCCAAAGGGTAAAGCAAAACTGGCGTGAAATGAGGAGGGGCCTGTGGCTGGACAGTGTCCTGTAGTCTGAGGAAAAAGCTGTGATGTCATGAGCTTCGCATTTTAGGAAGATCACATTAGGAGCTGTGGGCAAGGGACTGAGGATACCCTTTCATGATACAAATCAACATGAAACCAAATGAAAGCCTCATTAGAAAGAGAGATGAAATGCCTTAAATGGATAAAGGATAGCTTTGAAAATCCTTAGCTAACATCGTACTTAGTGATGAAACAGGGATGTTCACTCCTGCCACTTCGATTCAACATTGTGCAAAAGGTAATACTTGTGTTAGAAAATGAAACAAACAGCATCCAGGGGAAAGGAAGAAGTCAAATGAACTCTGTGATGCTATATCCAGAAAAACTTCAGTAATTCACAGAAACACTGTTAGCACTGATAAACAGGTTCTACCGGGATGCAGCATACAAGATCTGTATACAAAATTAGTTAGATTTCTATGTATTTGCAATGAAGAACAGGGAAATGAAATTAAGGAAAGAGTCCTTTTCATAATAACAGCAAACATAGCAAAATAATTAGAAATAAATCTAACAAAAAGAACTGTAAGACTTGTAAACTGACCACCATAAAACATCACTCAAAGGCGTTAAGACCTAAATAAACGGAAAGACATACCCTGCTCATGCATTAGAAGACTTCATATTATTAAGATGGCAACATTACCCAAACTGATGTAGAGGTACAGTGCATTCCCTATCCAAATCTTGTTTTTTGGTAGAAATTGACAAGCTGATCCCAAGAGTCACTTTTTTTTTTAAGCTTAAGTTCCTGGGAGAATGGCTTCATGCACATTAACTTAATGAATGGTTGACGTGTATTAGACCCTGTATTGTCTAAGACTTTTTTCTAATCCTTTTATATGCATTAACTGCTCTTTATAGGGAGCCTATCAATCCACATTACTAGGGGAGGAAATGGGAAATAACTAGCCCAAGGTCATAGAGCTGGGAAGCAAGGGGAGCAGGGTTCCAACCTTTCTGGCTCCACGGTGCATGGTCTTAGCCTCCATGGAGTATGCCTCTTTTCCTGGGGCAAAAGTGAATGCCAGGGCAGTGAGGGGTGTGTTGAGTCAGGTTTCTGGACATCTGGGCTGGGGTGCTGAGCAGGCAGTTGGCTTCACATCTAGAAGCAGAAGAGAGAACTAGGCTCGTGGTAAAGATTTGAGTGTCGTTGGCACGAAGACAGGTATTGCCAACATTGCGGCATAGAGATCACCAGAAGGTCAGGTGAGGAGACAGTTAGTTGATGACAGACCTTCTGGGTCACAGGAACTGAAAGAGTGTTACAGATTGAATTACATTCCTACCGCCTTCCTGCGTTGAACTCTTACCCCTCAGCGCCTCAGAATGTGATCTTATTTGGAGAGTCTTTACAGAAGTTATCCAGGTAAATTGAGGTTACTAGGGTGGGCCCTGGTCCATTATGCCTGCTGTCCTCATAAAAAGGGGACATTTGGAGGCAGGCACACGTACAGGGAGAGCATGTGGGAGCATGAAGATGCCATCTGCAAGCCAAGGAAAGAGGCCTCCAAGGAGCCAATCCTGCCGATGCCTTGATCTCAGCCTCTGGCCCCCAGAGCTGCGAGGCCAGGAGTCTGTGTTGCTTCTGCTGCTGGGTTCATGGCCTTTATCACAGCAGCCCTCCCAGTCTAAAAGAGCAGGAGAAGGACGTCCCAGAGGGAAGCTCAGCAGGGTCAGAGTCGCCAGGGGTCAAAACCCCCAGTCTGCTGCAGCTCTGAGCCTGGGGCCTGAGATTACAGCTGCTGCATGGGGACAGCTTTGATGCTGATGCCACCTGAGGCTGTGTCCCCCACCAGTGCTGAGTTGTGCTCCTGGCCCCGCCTTGAGCAGAAGTGGGGGTATCAGATACCTTCCCTCATTCTTTATCTCCTCCCCTGCTGTCAATCTCCACTTCCCCATTTCTGTTCCTGTGCAGCTGATTTTTTTGAACCTAAATGTGGGAGCTAGACGAGTCTCTGTTAGCTAAATGTCATCTTGCTGGTTTTGGTGCTGTGTATCAGCCAGTAGAAGTTGCTTATAATTTCAGCTTTGCTGTTTTTCAGGATGGCATTCCCTACAGACCTATGGTGTCCACAGCACTGAAACAAGCATACTTCTTTGGTCCTTACGTGAAGTCACTGATGAAAAAACAAACAAACAAAAAAGCATCAAGACACGGTGCCAGAGGGTAGCTGAGCCTGGAGGCTGCGTTGAGCATCTTCTTCCTCCTGGCTCTGGGTCCCAGGACCCTCGAAGCGGTGCTCATCCTACTTCTCCCCAGTTCCTTCCTAGCTTCGTCTTCTCCCCAGGTCTCTGGAATGAGGGTGCTGTCCAGGATCTGGTTGTCACCTACATGATCTTTACACCCTCCTTTCCCTGCACAGATGATCTCACCTCCTCTCTAGTTCCAGTTCCTATCTGCTACTATCAATGTCTCTTTAGGTGAATCCTTCAGTCTATTTAGTATCCATCCCAACTAAGTCTTGGGCTTCAGTTTCCTCATCTACAAAATGAGGATAATAATATATACACATGAAGTTAGATGATGAAATGAGATAATTTTTTTTTTTTGAGACAGAGTTTTGCTCTTGTTGCCCAGGCTGGAGTACAGTGGCATGGTCTTGGCTCACTGCAGCCTCCTCCTCCCAAGTTCAAGTGAGTCTCCTGTCTTAGCCTCCCAAGTAGCTGAGATTACAGGTGCCTACGACCACATCTGGCTAATTTTTTGTATTTTTAGTAGAGACAGGGTTTCATCACATTGGCCTGGCTGGTCTTGAACTCCTGGCCTCAGGTGATCCACCCACCTTGGCTTCCCAATGTACTGAGATTACAGGCATGAACCACTGCACCTGGCCTAAATTAGTAGGGAACTTGGTCACAGTGCCTGGTACACGGTAACTCCTTAAGACCTGTTCACCATCATTATAACCACTGCCACTGCCTCATGTGACACACATCTCTTATTGGAGATGGCCTGCCTTTATGTCCTTGCCGTTGGATGGAGGCTACAAATGTTTCAGCTCTGTTCTGGCTGAGTAGGTCTCCTGATTCCTCCTCTTACCAAATCTGGAATCTTATGGGCTTTAAATAGTGTTTTACATAAAGCATACACATACGTACATGTATGTATAGATATGTGACATATAGAGAGTCATCTCGTGTAGGCTCCACAGAGTCCACACTGGGACTTCAGGTACCGGGTTGAGGCCAGCAGACATTTAGAGGAGAAGAGATGGGGATTAGTCAGTATTCACCCTGCACCATGGAAGGTGACT